ATCGCGCTATCAACATTCCGAATCATAAACAGTATATATAGAACAAATCCGAACTATCACATGGAGTGTTGGCCGCTCCCCGGGCAGAACACCTTGCCCGGCGGGAGATCTCCCCTTTTCCTACCACGGCCACACTCATCTTGCAGTTGCAAACATTTCAAAATAATGGCAAGGAACTAAGTTCAAAGTAATTTTTCGATATAAATTAGTTGTCCAAAGGACACTTATAGATCTGCAATTTTTAAGTTCTGTGCAGATGAAGTCGCGGGTAAAAGCTTAAAACCGTGCTGCCTAGTGATAAAATAGCACCTTAAGTACTCAACCAAGGATCTTGTGTTGGAATCTAAAATCCTTTTTAGTGAATAACAGTTGTGGCTTTCTGGTCTGGCTGAGTAGTGAGTTATGATTACCTCAGTGTGTTTGACTGTGACGTGTATCTTAGCCAACCTACGACTTATAATATTTAATCGTCACGGGTGGTCAATGAGCACTGTCCACCTGATGTTAATTGGATGCTGTGGCCTATATACATATACATTAACCACTCAGGACTCGACAGTGTGTTTGGACAAAGTAGTCAGACCTATGGTCAAGTCAAAGAGTATAGTAGGTTTGGCCAATGACAGTATTTTTAAAGAAGGTAAATATAACTTAGAGTCATTATCATGTTATTATCCAAAAATTATCAACAATTAAAATATTTAATTATTTGTATGAAGGTCAAGTGAGCGCTAGAGAAACAATAATTGCAAGATGTTGTCGATAACTAAAATGTTCTGAGGAATTATCAATTCCGTGTAGTGGCGGTGTATGGAATATCAATATAATGTCGCGAATGTCGTAAGAGGCGACTATACTTAGGGAAAAGTGTTATTTTTAAATAACCGTGACCATCGTTCCAGTTACAAAAGTCACAGTGAAAAATTATCGTGACCTTGTCACGTTGGATAACTACTCGGAACATTAAAACGACTTATAACTTGACTTTAATTATGCATTTATGATTTAGTATTAGGTTTTATTTCAGTACTCGGCTACGTTGCTATGTTATTAGTACTATTCTAAAATATTAGGTATCAATAAAATAAAATTCAATTATACTTTATTACACTACCTTTAATATATACATATCATATAATTTAATAATTTATTCGTTTTAAAATTATTAATAATCACTTATCGTATAATATGAACATTTGTGTTTTTTACATGATTTATGGTAATAACTCACAATTTATACTTATTTAATTTTCAGTTACGTCTACTTTATTTGTACGTGAACGATACAATAATGCAAATTTTACAAAGTGTATAAAATTGTTACGAGACAAATTATAAGCAAGTAACTTTTAAAAACAATGTGATTAATTAAGTTTTAATAAAAAAACTAACAGCAAACTTTCTTTTGTGGCCTCTCACACTCTTGCACCGAAGGAAATAGTATGAAGTAAACTAGAGATGGATATTCAAGTAGCTACTAAATAGTGACTATTCACAAAATAGCCACGGTTATGATATTCGACGATTAATCCCGATCGAATCGGTCGGTAATCCTACGTGGGGGGGGGGGGGGTGGACTGAGATGTTTGACGTCCTCAATCCTAATGTGATAGTTAGCCTGGCTACCTTCAGTTTTAAATTATTAATTTTTGATCCGATCTACGCAGAACGAGCTTACAGTATTGAGGTACCTATTACTATTTACTACTACGTATAGAGAGGACAAGGCCTTGCATGATTTTGCGCCACGCTTTACGGTACACTGTACCGCAACCGTTTAGTGAGTGTTCAACGCCTGCACAGACGAGTCGTGTTCGCTTCGCATAAATAACAACTTCAAAATGCCTGGTTGTGTTCTTAAAGACTGCAGTAAACACTCCAGAACATTAAAAAAAAGTGACGGTATAACATTTCATCAGTAAGTAGACATTAAAACGTTTAAAACTCTTTGATTTAAAGTTTTTCGCGTTGTTTCAATGCTCACGAGAATCGGGAAAAGTGTAAAATCTACGGGAGCGACTCGTTGTACACTACGTTAAACGATACGCGTAAGCGCCATGAAATTCCTGGCACTTATGACGTTTTAGTCGCGAGAAAACTAATCCCTAATGCACACTAGCGCTGCATGTTTTAAGTTTGGTTAGACGACCTAACCATTATTTTAGTGCTGCAGTAAACTTTAGTTCTAACTCTTACCAAAATGAAGCATACTTTTGGTTCGGGGTGTTTGCTCTATACGGTAGTAATATAGTTCGATGGCTTACAGTATCTTGAAGTCTTGCAGAGGTATGCTTGGGTTTGGATTTAATTTTGTTAATTATAGGATCCCAAACAGATGGCAGCACCCATCCATCTTCTATATTGAAATTAGGATGTTTTTTAATTTCAATAGCCTCGCGTATCATCCTTGGTAGTAATCGGTGTTCTTTTGCGAGAATTTGTAGTTTATCAAATCTGATATAATGGTGGGGATGATCTCGAACATGTTCAGACAATATTAATTCATAACGATTCGATACGTATAAGTTTTATATGTAGCTACAAAATCAAAAAGATATCACTGTTTACATTAGAGCCTGTTAGTATTGGACGACCTTCCGTACAGGCACAAACGGTTGGCGCATAAAAAAGACAAATGGCACACCTACAAGTTTAAGTGAACAAGCACTATGACTATGCCTTTATTTAATGTGTACACTTGATCAAAGACGGCTAGAAGGACTTCACCATCATCGTTGATAAACAATAACATTTTTTATTTCTTTATCATTATTTTTTATTTTATTTTTTATTTAAGATCATACTTTTCTCAATTTTGTTTAACATTTGTAACACAACGCATGCTGTGATTGCCTATAATTATAAGAGCAGTTAATCATGTAAATTTATAACGCTGTAATGTAATGTAACCAAACATTAATCGCTGTTCTGTTCTTATGTTGGTAATCCAAATAAATAAAAAATAAAAAATATAGCACATGCTCGAATAGATTTATTTTTGCTTATAGGTTATTTCAAACATACATAAATATTAAATAGTCTATAGTTGTTTAAGTCACTTTAACCAGAAACAAACTTTTTATCTATGCAATGGAATTATAAATATTCTAAAAAAATAGATATTAATCTTCTTAACACAATTGGGCCAAAGCTATTAGATATATAATTTCTAAAGACATATTTGTAATTAATGTCTATATAGTAAATATGCAACTTTAAGACTTATACTAAACTAACAAAAATAATTAAAAAAAACCCTTATAATATAATATAAATAAAAATAATTTAAATAATAGTCATCCAAATGCCTTTAGTCTTTATTTTTGAAGATTGCCTTTATTATTAATTTACGATTTTGGTGATAGTTTAACTTAATGCTAGCCCTGTTTTAACTAAGTATTATATAAATAAAACAACATGTAGTTCATATTGTTGCGCGCCTAAGTTGACGTCATGTACCCGGCACTAGCGCCATCTCTGTCGGGTAACGGAGCGATGAGAGCTTTCCAGAAAATGACATCACTAATCTTTCAACCGACAGCGCCATCTAGTATCGAAATGAAGAAGAACTAAGCTTCTAGAAGCCCGACACTCGAACTTTCGGCGCCTAGTCGATTGGCGCGCGTATTTACTTGAATATTCTGGATGTTTCGGTGATAATGTGTATTTAAAGGCGCTGCAAGATGCGATCGGGAAAGTATTGAATTTGGCGAGACAAGCGAAGCTTCGGAGCGAAATAAAGTGAATCAGTTATTAGTGTCTTCTAAGTTTTAATTAGTATAGTGAATTAAAGAGTTAATTTTGGTAATTCTATCGGCAATTTTTATTGTCACGAACCTCAAGCTCGTAACAATATTCTAAACAAATTATAAAGGACTGTTTCTCTTAAATGTAAGTAAAATAATATGATTTATACGAAGACATAGAAAAAAATAGAAGTCTTCATCCTTATACTTACAAAAAGTATTTTTAGAAAAACTTCATTGCTATTAAGTAATGTCAAAGATGTTTTATAGGAAGTAATGTAATATTTATTGTGCAATAAAACCGTCATATCCTCGCAATCAAAGTTAAATGCTAGTAACAGCTTTCTTCAACACAAGTCTTAAAGGTCCCATATCCTATGTCCTATTAACTATTTGATCTGAACAAATCAGTACGGAATCCACAATGGAGCTAACACAGTAATATCAACATATATACGAGTGAATGTTTAGAAAATGTTTATAGTTGACATTTTACTAAGGCCTGAAATAAATGACAAACTAAAAAGATGCTTTGGAATAATTTACGAAGCATTTACATTGTTGTCTTATAGCTGGCCGCTGCTTTGACTAACGTGTTAGATACAAAGCTACTATTCTGAATATTATCAATTTGAGTTGAAAAAGAAAATCAATCAACCTCTATCAATCTACCCTCTGAGGTATGGGATGAGGCCTGTGACCAGCAGTGGAAAGTAGGCGGTAACTTTACGAAAATCATGAAAAGGGGAGCTTTGCTGTTTTGGACACGGTCGTGTGTTTAACGTGAATACGTGCACGTAACAAAACGATCTTGAAGTGGCGGGGTTCCTCTTCCGCCGCGCGCCATGCTTCACAGTCTTCACGCAACGTAACGAATTATTTGATCCTTTAGCTATCGTGTTGTAATTAAATTTTGAATGTAGATGATAGATACGTTAGCTGCAACACCAAACTGAACCCCCAAATTCGTTATATAAGTTTTCGGAATTGCCTTCCACTATGGAAACAAATTTAAAGTCGTAGGTTATTCACGTCAAAATTAAATGCTTTTACAAGTCTGACATTTATATATCATAAGTAAATTACACATTCCCATAAAATTGAACATAAATAGAAACATAATTCTGGTGTTTCTGGTTTATTGAATTTCCCACGTGAACCCAACTGTAACTGTTACTGATATAAACAGAAAACATATTAACAGCCAGGCGATTTAAACAGTTGTTAAATATTTTTAAAATATTTATTAAGGAAATGGCTGATATCAGGGGCTCCAATGAAAACACAACTTTGGATACAGAAGTAACTCAAGAAAATACAAAACAAAACTCTGTATTTCAAGAACAGCAGCAGAAGCCAGCCGAGAAAGAACTAAGAGTACCAAGACCCGGTAAAAAAAAATACAACGAGCCAGATAAATTAACAAACGAAGTATTAACTTCAATTAGGGATCATTTTAAACGACCTGCAGTTTCTCCGCCACCGCAAGAAGACCGGTATGATTTGCTAGGTAGGAAAAACGCAAGCGGCTTAATGCTGAAAACTTATAAATGACATTTTGTTTAAAGAAGAGATAGGAAATCTAAGCACAGAAAGTTACCAGAACAGGAATATTCCATACTATCATAGAGGCCAATACATACATTCTCCTAGTTCGACAAATATCTCAAGTACTAGCCCACATCATACACAAAGCCCAAGTTCGTCATCGATGCAACAATTTCAATATCGAAGGTTAAGAACCAATAGCGTCTAACTGTGTTTTTTACTTTTTAATCCAGTTAGATATAAAGTTTAATTTGGCGTGGCCTATTTAGACACTTATCGCGATATTCTCAAAATTGTTGCAGTTATTTCCTACAGAAATTCCACCTAACTTAAGAGCGCGTGTATTTGTCATGCACTGCATGCATTATATTTTAAACTATGGAGTGTAGAAGTAAGGAGTACAGACTGTGTATTAAAAAGTGTCCATAGAAAACCGTTAAACAAGGGTGGCGCCACTATAACTACGGGGTAAATTATAAAGAACACACCGAAAAATATTAGTGGGATAGACGACTTTTTCGAGGTTATATTTACTAAATAAAATTATTTTAGATTTTAGAGCTACTGAGCAGTTTAGCAGCACACTTAAACCGTCGACAACTGCTAAGTTCATTTCATACCAGTAGCTACTCCAGCGCTGTTGTGGAGAGTTTTTGAACTGTTATTTAATGCTTACAGATGGCCACTTTTTCACCTATTCTACTATGGGAGTTGGTACTCCCTACTTCTACACTCCATATTTAAAACGAAACTGACATGCAATAATGCTTTGACCAAAGAAAAAAGAAAGGACATAGCATAAAGATAGTTAGTTGCAGGAATGTAACGAAATATCGGCGTCTCTTTATAGCTCATGAGTATATTCGTATGAAAAAAGGACATTACTTTTATCATTACCGAATATGACAACAATTTATTCGCTGCGGCCGGGCGCCATGTTTTATCACAGTCAGTGACAAGTATATCAGTTGTCATAGCGACTTGTTTGTTTTTAAATTTTTAAGAAAATTTAATGTTTTTATGCGTTTTATGTGAAAATTGTGCATTTCAAAACTAGTAGAGGACTGTATTCATCATGGGCAGGTGCAGTGTAATAAGCTGTCGGATGAAAAACAAGAACACGTGAGGCTCACAGAAAATGTACCATAATACACAAGAACTTGTAACACACGATAACACACTGGAATTGTGTAACACACTGGAAATATTGTTAAGCTTGATGCACATAAAGCAATAAAAAAATTGAATTTCAAATAAAATACGATTATAGATAGAATTATTTATTTAATAAAACAACTTAAAAAACAAAGAGATCAAAATTTGTACTTGTTGTTGAATTACACAATCGTATTATTTTGGCATTATTTCAATATATCTACCTACTTGTAAATATTCTACTCAAAATAAACCTTATCGCTAAGATCAGCTAAAAAGTATTCTTTTGGTCGTTTTGTGTTATTTTAACCTGCTGAACTATTAAATCTTCCGTTACAGTGTCTTCATCTTTTATTTTGTGAATTACAAACTTTAGCTCCGGTTTTTTAATGGTTTTCAGAAATCATATGGTAAAATAAGATTTTCCTTCTTTTCTGTCTTTCTTCTAAGAATCCTATGTAATACTTCCACGCGGTTCTTTGATAATACCTTACAAGTACAGTGTCTTTGAAAGATAGCCTCCATATGTCTGTATTAATTTTTAATGTCACTTCCGAGTCATTTTTTGCATTGTCAAAGTTATTTTCATCATCCTGCAGAGTCGTAGCAATCACAGATTGTGTAGCTAAATTAGTTTTAACTACTCCCTGATTTTCATTAGAAAAAATGTTTATTTCCTTGTGTCTTTATCAGTGTATGTATTTTTTTATCTTCATGGCTTGTTTGTTCTATTTTTTCTCTCTCTATTTTACTTGTGTCTGATATTTTTCTTAAATTTGTAACGTTCTTCTGTTCTTTCAATTGATAATCCATATGATCCAGATAATCATCATCTGATAAGATATCATCTGTAATGTGATACTCTTCATCAGAAGTATCATGCACAGAAATCGTCATATCTTCGTCTGTACTGCTCTCCTCTTCCGTTTTAAGTTTCTTGTTTGTTTTAAGGTGTATGTCTTTTATTTTTATTTTCTTTGAACATTTCTTCATTCTGTCATGAGAATTTTCTTTCAAACTTTTGCTAGCAATGTCTGTTTTGAGGTTTATTTGTTTTAAATTGAATGGTCCATATTGTCTCAAATTAAAATAAGACCTGTTTTCTTGAGTATTTTTAATGTCAGCTAATACTGTTATAGACGTTTTAGACGGAATAGATTTTTCATTTAACATTTCTGTTTGCTATAGCAAGTCCGCAGATTTCAGATTGAGACAGTCGCAAAAACCTGATCTACTCTTTTTCGCAGAAGCAACTTAAACAACGGTAGGAAATAGAGTTAGCTGAGTCAACATTGTTAATAATCTGATGTATTTTCATCGTGTTTGGTACTGGTACGAGTTCTACTGATTCGTTCAGCATGCCATCTTCAGGTATAAAGAAAAGCTGTATTTTGGTTTCAGACGCTTGTAAAAATTCATAAGCTGTTTTAGTCACATTTTTGATCTGACAATTGAGTGTAATTTTCTTTTAATGACTCCTCCTACACCATCAGCGGCTCCTTTACCGTGTGACGCTTCGTAAAAGTTCCACATGTAAAATGGAAAGCCCAACTCTTTCGTCAGTTTTGCGAAATAATAAAAGTTTTTCTTCTGTCGGTATTGTACAGTTGGGCCATCTGAATAAAAATGAATCCCGTCTACTTTGGGTAATTTCTCCTTGACTAACTTAAGCACAGGTAAGAGATGTGCCCAAATGGCATCTGGTCCGTGGACTTTGTTTGGACTTAAACTTGCAAAAGATTGATGACCTTTTTCGGTATATAACACCCCAGTGTGGAGACTGATCTGTCGTCTGGACCCATCAAAATGCATGGCTTATATTTCAGTGGCTAATTTGCAAGAATAGTTTTCCGAAAAAATCGACGTGTACAACGACAGTACGGTCATCTAAATTTTCTATGCACTGCCGATATTGTTTGTACTGATGCACGATATTGTAGGAATGGATTTTGAAACTTTGCAGAAAGGCAATCTTCTTGAAAGGCATCTAGGAACATTTCTAGCGAACCAGTTTTTTTTTTTGGTTTGTATTCATGAGATTTCAAAACCCATTCATCCCATGAAACATTATAGATTTAGATCTTTTTCACCCATAGAAAAATCAATACGTTTGTTTTTGGAAAAATCACAGTTTCCTTAAGCACATTCCTTTGACTTTGACGAACATACAACCATACTCAGTAACTCATCAAGATCTGTTGTTGCTATTAATCCAATTGACTTCAATGACGTGGCTTTCATTTGCAAATTTTCGTGCCTGTTACAAGCGCAAGTTTCTCGTTTCTCGGCTTTTTGCGGTAATACATAAAAGGGTCTATACCTTTTGAAAGTTGAAAATGATAATTTTCCTCCTTCTTCTCTATATTTCTGATATAATTTATGTAGAGTGCCAAGCAAATACTTTCTCTGTTTTTTTTTGTGTCTTTATTTCGTTTTTCCCTGCTGTCATCCTACTCACATCATCCCTTTCATAATAGTTTCTTAACTGTGTCTGTATTAATGGGCTTTTATTTTTCTGTTTAGTGTGACGAATTTTTCCTTTAAGACCTAAATAGGTAGCCATCTTAGTTTTCATACTGTATTTATTAATGTTATCACTTTTGGTAAAAACATCTTTAATTAATCGTTTTTCTTGAGTGTTTTTACTTTTGTAGCTGTCTTTTATAGTGTCCACTATTACATTATGTTCTAGCAAAACTTTTTTCACGCTTTCTCTTTCTTCAGGTCGAATATTAGGTAAATTTTGGTCAAAGTATGCGCGCGTTTTCGAAACGGGGGTCATTTGTTCAAGGGCTTCATCTTTTTTGGCAATTGGGCTTGACCTGTCTTCAAAGCTACGAATCATTTGGTTTTTCTCCTCAATAATTTCAAGTAACTTTTTATTTTTTTCCATCATCATCATCATCATCACAGCCCTTCACAAGTCCACTGCTGAACATAGGCCTCCCCCAAATAATGCCACAAAGCACGGTCCTGAGCCACCTGCATCCATCGACATCCTGCATATCTTACCAGGTCGTCACTCCATCTAGTGGGGGGTCGCCCTACACTACGCCTACCGGTACGAGGCTACCACTCGAGAACCTTTCTTCCCCATCGGTTATCGGTTCTTCGAGCTATATGGCCGGCCCATTGCCACTTCAGCTTACTAATCCGTTGGGCTATGTCGGTCACTCTGGTTTTACTGCGGATATCCTCATTTCTGAGTCTATCACGCAGAGAAACTCCGAGCATAGCCCTCTCCATAGCTCGCTGAGCGAACTTGAGCGTCCTCATACGGCCAGCAGTGAAGGACCACGTCTCTGATCCGTAAGTCATCACTGGCAACACGCACTGGTTGTACACTTTAGTTTTCAGAGATTGAGGTATACCTGACGAGAAGATGTGTCGTAATTTCCCGAACGCTGCCCAGCCGAGTTGAATCCGTCGATTGACCTCTCGGTCGAAGTTGGACTTACCTAGTCGGACTATTTGTCCCAGGTAAACGTACTCGTCAACAACTTCGAGCATAGTGCTCCCAACAACTACCGGCATAGGTGTGACATGGACATTAAACATGATCTTTGTTTTGTCCATGTTCATCTTAAGACCTATCCGTTGGGAGGCACTATTGAGGTCATTGAGCATAGTGCTTAAGTCCTCCAGCGATTCTGCCATAAGGACTATATCGTCGGCAAATCGAAGGTGAGTGATGTACTCGCCATTGATGTTAATACCGTATCCTTTCCAGTCCAGTAGCTTGAAAACGTCTTCCAAAGCAGCGGTGAAGAGTTTCGGGGATATAACGTCACCCTGTCTTACACCTCTCTGCAGTTGGATAGGTTTCGAGCTCTGGTTCTGTACTCGGATAGCCATCGTAGCCCTACTGTACAAACACTTCAGCACTTCGATATACCGACAGTCAACTTGGCACCGCTGAAGGGACTGCAGCACCGCCCAAATTTCGACGGAATCAAAGGCTTTCTCATAGTCCACATACGCCAGACAAAATGGCAAATTGTACTCTTCAGTTTTTCTGTACAATCTGCCGCAGGGTATGTATGTGGTCTATGGTACTGAAACCTTTTTGGAAACCGGCTTGTTCGGGAGGCTGGAAGTCGTCGAGTCTGCGTGCGAGACGATTCGTAATGACTCGAAAACAGCACGTAGACGCGGCTCAGAAGGGAAATCGGTCTGTAGTTCTTCAAGAGAGCGTTGTCGCCTTTCTTAAAGAACAAGACCACCGCACTTCTGCTCCACGCCTCTGGAGTAGTGCCACCATGGAGGACGGAATTGAAAAGCTTCTGAAGGACTTCAAGTACCGGTGTTCCACCCGCTTTCAGAAGCTCCGCTGTAATTCCATCCTCGCCTGGGGCCCTGCCGTTTTTAAGGTGCTGGAGAGCCATTCTAATCTCGCTTAGACTGACGTCCGGGATACCACCGGAATAGTGTCGGATAAGACTTGCTCTTGGATCGTTACTCACACTTGCGTGTGGCTCCAACGATGACGTGTACAGCTGCCCATAGAACCTCTCAATCTCACTCAAAATCTCAGGTGTCCCGGAATCGATGCTGCCACACTCAGTCTTCAGCCTTGACAGTTGGCTCTTACGGGCAGACAGATCTCTGACAAAGACTTTGGAGCCCTGGTTCCGCTCGATCGCTTCTTTAATACGAGCAGTATTAAAGTTGCGTAAGTCTCGCCGCATGCATTTGGAGATCTGTCTGTTCAGTTGCCTGTATGCTGTCAAATCTGTTGACGATTGCAGCCTCATCTCCCGTCTAACAGCCATGAGATTAAGAGTGTGATCGGAGAGTTTTTGTGTTCTTCTGCGGCGGGTCTTGCAGAACTTAGCTCCGACCGCATGGACAGTTTCCACGAGCTTGTCATTCATATCGTCCACTGCATTGCAATCTTGTAGGCACTGAAAGCGGTTGTGTAACTCGAGCTGAAAGTTTTCGGGATTTTGGATTAGAGCACGAGGGGGACGGAGCGTTGACTTCATTAGACGAGACCTCTCCAACTTAACGTTTAGGTTCAGTGTGCCTCTAGCCATTCGGTGATCGCTGCCAGTTTTCACCCTTGCGATCACTGAGACATCACTGAACAGTTGGCGTCTGGTCGTCATAATGAAGTCAATCTCATTTTTTGTCGAACCGTCGGGGCTCGACCAGGTCCACTTCCTGTGGGGCCGCTTCTAGAAGAAAGAGTTCATCATAAAGAGTCCCTCTTTCTCCATAAAGTCGGCCAGCTGCTGGCCCCTTCGGTTCCGTTGCCCTACTCCAAATTTCCCTAACTTCAGCTCACCGTTTTCTCTTGTGCCTAGTTTTGCGTTGAAGTCTCCCATCAACACCGTGTATTGGGTTTTGGAGGAATGCATGGCTTTGGAAATATCCTCATACATTTCCTCCACCTCCTCATCGGGACGTGCCGAGGTTGGTGCGTAAACCTGTATGACCTTCAGCGAATACCGTTTGGTGATTCTGAGTATCAGGTACGCGACCCTCGTCGACACACTCCCAATCTTTACAACGTTATTGACGAGAGACTTGTGGACGATAAATCCGACACCTCCTTGGGACAGATGGTCGCCCTCCCGGTGATAGAACAAGTTGCCGGATTCGAGAATCACCGTGTCCTCCCCCTCTCTTCGGACCTCGGATAATCCTATAATACTCCAGCGCAACTTGTCTATCTCTTCTTCCAGCTCCAGGATCTTCTCGTCAGTCCTCAGTGTGCGTGCGTTAAACGTTTCCAGGTCGAGTCGTCGTAGGTGGCAACCGAACCTCCACCGGAAATTCTTAGCACCCCCCTGCCCCGCCGTTACCATGGTCGCCACCGTAGCCAGGAATAGCGGGGCCGCCGGGGACTGGGGGCCGTCTATTTGTGTAATTGTTCATGGGGGGTATATTGCCATAGTTGCCACGCTTGGCGAGCGGGTTGGCAACCGCAGTTTTTTTTGTCGTACAGTTGCTGTTATCAGGAAGATGCTGCTGCCCATCTCCTGCCTGTTTAATTTTTTTCCATAGAACGGTTTAATCTTTGCCTAATTTTTTTCAACGACTTTTTATATTTTTTTAATTCCTCTTCTAGCTTTGTGTTTTCATTTTTTAGTCTATAAATTACCCTTCTATTATAATTTCTCTTCTGTGTTAAAATTTGTCCAAGTCCTTCTAAAGGCACTACTTCAGGCTTAGGTTCTTTCTTACTTTTCTTCTTTCTCTCTCTCCACTGCTTTCTTATGATTTCTTCATCAGATAAAGGATATTCTGCTATTCTTTTTCTATTTCTTTTTGTTCTTTCTGCATTTTGTTTTTGCTGCAATTTAAATTTTTCAAGATATACTTCTTTCAGCCGTTCTCGATAAAGTTTCTGCCTTTCTTTAGGTGTTAGAGGCATCTGTAAAATCAACATAAAATAAAAATAAAAAACCATGAATGCAGTTACATTTTACTTTTTGTTGTATATTAAACTTTTTTCTGGTTTAAAAACCCAAAAATAGCCTACTTTAAACAACAAATTTATATGGGACCAGCCTGAAGGCATTATCTATTCACTAAAAAGTATTTTTGAAATCGGTCTACAGAATCTGGAGAATCGCGTAACATACATACAAAAGAAAATAAAAAAATATCAGTTGAATTGAGAACCTCCTCCTTTTTTTGACACAAAACATAAATATTTAGATTTTTCTATACCTAAGTATTGCAATGTGAACTACTTTCACGTGTGTTACGTCACACAACTTTGTAACACACGCAACACGTGAACTAACACTCGTGAAGAACATAACCTAAAATTCAGGTAGCATCTTTACTTGCAAAGCAAATCCGTAATAAACTGCATTATTTGGGAATATTTAATGTCTCTTTCAACTATATATATTACAAAACAACCTAATGTTAATTACTTACCTTGCAAAATTATTTCCAAAAGTCTCTAAAATCCAATGACGAAAAATAACACACACCAAGTACTGCCTACTGCCCGTAAACCAAGATGTCTGACAAAACACTGACGTTTCATATTGAAAGTTATAGTGTTGCCATTGTGAAAAAAATAGATGACGTGTTGCTATTGCTTCTACCAAAAAAGCTGCTATGTAACAATTATCTATAACTTACAGTGATAGTATTAATCAGATGGAACATATTTGTTTATTCAATCGTTTTTTAATTATTTTTTTACTAGTTTTATTACACTTATTATTAGAACAGTAGTTTTATGCAATCATATTTAGCATAACATTAAGAAATCACGATGCTTTATTCAAACGACGAAGTAATGAAGAAAAAGAAAATGTACTACGCATGGACACATTTTATTTTTCTATGAAATTACATCTCACCAACTTTTTGTACCAGTTTGTTTTTGCTCATATTAAAAAGTATTCACAATTTAAATCGAGTAATATTAACAAGCGAATAATGCCCAATACAATTTTTTGTGAGCCTCAACCCACATCAAAATATTACTTTGCATAGGTAAGTAACCTAGTTCTTTTCTATAATGATCTAATGTTAATATACGCGATAAAATCCGTAAAAATTAATATTATTTAAATGTGTAGTGTTCGCAAAAATATAAGAAATCATTAGGTATGATCTAATGTTTTTCTATCACTGTTTAGTGATCGAAAAACAGTACGGTTCGGCAGTTTCAATATATCGATATATCGATAGATGAATAGTACCTATTTAAAGAGGATTTCTTTTTTTGTGGTTTTAGAATACCAAAGTGTGAAAAACAAAAAGAAAAGTGGCTGAATATACTTGGTGTAGAAAACCTCAACACCAAAACTAAACACTTTTTTATTTGTTCGCTACATTTTAAACAAAAATGTTTTAATCGAACTTTAAATGTTACAAGGCTGCGCGATGATGCTTTGCCTTCAAGCGAGTTGTTGGTAAGTGGTAAAATGCTTACGCAGTATGGCTGCAGGTTAAAAACAAGCAAAAAATATTACAAACATATATTTATATTTTTATAGTTACCAGCTCAATTTGAAGATTGTAAGGAACAAGAATCTGTTTCTCGCAAGGTGTCGGTAGAGAAATCTATAAACAACACTTCTAACTATGCAGAGGTAAATTATACTCATTTCCTATGAGGGTGCGGTGCTGTAGGTTACTAAAAAATCTTGACAACATTTTAATAAAAACTTACAAAATATTTATTAATATCTTTATTTGTCCTTTACAGTTATCTGCCCAATTTAACAAGTGTGAAGAACAAAAATCCGTTTCTCACATAGTACGAGAAGAGACGCCTGTCTGCAGCATTTCTAGCTATGTAAATGTTAGTATGATATTTCATAATTTATGTTACTTTCTAGGTATAGACTCTGGACTCTTAAATACAAATTCACTTAATATTAAAATATGTTATTGTTTCTTTTCTTTAACAGTTACCAGCCCCTTGTTACAGGAGTGAGAAGCAACAAACTGTTCCTCGCAAAGTATTTGGAGAGAAACCTGTCTGCAGCACTTCTAACTTTATTGAGGTGAGTGTGTTATTTTCACATGTTTTTATAACATATAATCTTAAAGAATTTTAACCAACCACATTAAATGTAGGTAGATGAACTGCTTCTTGTAAAATATTCATCATGAGTTGGATCGATAGCCTGTGTTTCTTTTTATTGAAACTTACAAAATTAACAGAAAAATACTTAGAACACTTTGGTTTTGTAAATGTATGTTTTTTTTTTGTTTCTGGATCAACAGTTTTAAATAATCCAAAAACTTAAGACGAAATGGGAAAATCAAAGGAAAAAAATTAAAAGACTAAATGAAAAAGTGAGGAGACAAAGTAAGAAAATAGCTGATTTTAAAATTTTTATGAAGGATATAAAGGACAAAAATTATATTAATGATGATCATGTGACTGTGTTGGAGCAGTGTGCAGGCCCCAAATAATTTCTTAAGAGACAAATTTCTAAATCGGTAGGATTGCCTATGAAAAGGCAATACAGCGAAGTACCAGGACTGCATATGTCCACGAAATTGATAAAAACTCACGTACTTTATCAAAAACAAATAATGATGGTACGACTTGTCACGCAGCTTCTTAGTGACTCGGTGGCAGATGCCTTGGAGCATTGTAATAATTTAAAATTACCGGTATTTCAAGGATGTGAAGGCACAATTAACTTTATTAGGTTAATAAATAATGGTTTCGATGTATTGAACAGCCGATCAATTAGACCACTGGGGTGGAAAAAGGCTATTTTCTCTGGGAACATTGGTTTGGTGAAAGCTTTATTCGAAGGCGCTATAAGCTACCTTCAAAATCTGACGTTGCCATCTGGGCAGAAACTCGTAGATACCAGAAAAAAAACCGGCTTTGTAGGGCTTATTCTGGACATGATCAGTGCAATTCAACTCTACAAATATCTGATTGAGGGCACCAAACTTTTACAGTACTTGCCATTATAGAAGATCAGCCAGGACCACCTCGAGTTTTTTCATCTATTCGAGCACGAGGTGGCTTCAATAATAACCCGAACGCGGTTCAATTTAGGGCTGCTTTTAAAAGATTGTTGATAAGAGCTGAAATTAGGGATGCGGACCTTGGTAACTGCGTACCCCTGCAGCAAATGAATATACTAACCTGCTGTTGTAAGACTAACCCAGTCACGACCATAAACGATTTGACAGAAAGAAATTCATTTGTTGAATTGCCTGAGGATGATAGTGAGTTGTACGCAGAATTTATTCATTACATGTACAAAAACCTACCCAACTATTCCGACAGCGTAGTTACTTATATATCTGGTTTTATATCAAGAAATTTGGCACGGTCTATGAAATGCGATATTTGCGCAAATTTATTGTTTAGCGATCCCAAAGACTATCAAAAAAGTTTAATAACTTTAAAGAACAGGAGTGGGCTGATTTACCTATCAGACGTGAAGCGCACTCTAGTTAAAGTGGGAAAAATATTAAAGTGTATTTTTCAGAAACAACTGCGGTCTGAGCAATATTACCTCCATGTGTTCAGATTTTTAATGGAACATTTTGATGAAGCGAATTTGTTTAAATCAAACTGCGAACATGACACGACAATTAGACTTTTACTTATTAAATCCATAGTCCAAACCTATATGGATCTGAGGTTTAAATACTTTGGAAAGACAAACATAACATTTGGAAAGAAAAATTAACAGAAAAAATTTCATTTCGAAATTATTTTAATAAAATTTTATTATTTCGTAATGAGTAAGTGCGGGTAATTTATGTTTGTAATAAATATTTTTTCAATGGAAATTTCAGTTTTATTATGAAGTAGCGTCCGCCCGAGGTATCTTCTTATTCCATCTCTCGAGACCTCTAATCCTGTATGTTAATTCAGGTAATGAACTATTTGTGTGCCAAATTATGACATTTAAACTGGTCTGATACTTTTGGCGTGATTGAGGAACAAACAATCATTCAAACTTTTGCATTTATTTTGATTTGATTAGTGTGAGTGTGATGACTGAGCCTAATTTATTGTCTAACAAACAAACAAAAATTCTTTTATTAGTATTTCTTGTTTAGTAATTCCTGTAGATAATTAAATTATAAAAGCAAAAAAATTACTACTTAAAAGTAATGAACTGAAAACATAGGTATAACTTATATATATATTTCAGTAATGTCCTTTTAATTTCCTTTATTTTGATATCCCTATCGATAGGTTGAGTAAAAAAAAATAAGGACTTACGATTTGTCATCCGTCATATCGATTTAAAAAAACCTATCTAAGAACACTCGGGTGTTTGAGATGAATCATACGAAAGAATATTTTTCAAAAAGCACCACATTATCGATATTAAGTATAGTGCGCAACACTACGTCAAGCCGCCATCTTTGTGCCAGACTCAATTTAGGTATACACGTTTTTTTCGTAGGTATGTCATGTCCTTTCTTTTTTCTCTAGTCAAAGCCATAATGTTACACTTTTCGACTTGACGTCACGTCATTGCACATGTTATTGGTTCATAGAAATGGTAGCAGACCTTACTGCGAGTACTTTCGCGTCATTTGTGGTAGACTACTTAGAGCGCCATTGCTTGCCGAAGAAAATGCCAATAATTATTTATTCCGATGGTTGCACTTAACAAAATCGAAATGTTGTAATGGCAAATGCGCTTTTGAATTTGAGTATAAAGCACAAAATCAACATCACTCAAAATTTCCTCGAATGTGGTCACACTTAAATGGAGTGTGATTCGGTTCACAGTGCTATTGAACGGAATCTCTCAAATCGTGTAATTCATTTTCCGTGGGATTATGTTTCGATTACTAAAGAAGCAAGGGTATCAAATCCTTACGAAGTAATTCAGACTGACCATAATTTTGTGAAAAATTATGCCGATATATCCACTTAGCTTTACAAAAATATAAGGCCAGAACGCAAAGCTGTTGACCCAAATGTAACAGACTTAAGAGCTATTCTTTACGACCAAGAAGACACTATTAAAATGAAGCTACATTTTGACCAAGATTGGTTTGCCTTGCCACAAAGACAAAAATTATTTAACCCCGACGTCTCTTATTCGATTTTACGTAATGATATGATTCCAATAAATGCCTCGAAATATCAACACTTCCAAGAGCTGAAACAATTACTACCCAGTGAATGTTATAACGTTTATGATACAGTGCCCCATTTATGTATAAAAATAAATTTGTAGATTCGTTTTAGTTATTTCGAGGGCTTTTTAATTACTTAGAAGTATTTTTAGTTATTTTAAAGTCTTTTTAGTTATTTTGGAGATTAAAAATGTGATTTTTCATTGTGTTGTTTACATTTCAAAAACGGCTGTCTACTATTTAACTAAAAAAATATTTACTATAATAAAACCAATACCACCTAACTCAAGTTAATTGTAAATAGGCCAATTCTAGTATACCTATCGTATTTCAGCATATTTTTTTCTATTTTTAAAAATATAAACATCTTAGCTTTGAATTGTGTAAATTGAAATTAAATTGTAAATAAATTAAATTGTGTAACTTTTCTTTATAGTGTGTGTCAATAAATTATTATTATTATTATTATCTTGCTATTCAAAGCAGAATAAATGTTTTTTAACTCCTGTAAAGTTTACTTTATTGAGATAGACACTATTGATTCTTAACTGTCGATATACTCAATTTAACACGTTAACTGTCCCCTTACAGAATTTCTTAATAACCTCAGATGTCCAAATCAGTTTTTTTTTGGTATTTTGAATCAAATTGATTCAAAATGACTAATTTACCTACATAAATAACTAATTATCCGGTTCTTCCTACCTTTTGACCGTGTACCGTATTCGGTACACGGACCTATCGAGTCGAAATAGCACGTGCCGTGAACTTGTGAACGTCTAATTTAAGAAAAAATAACGAAATATCGAGACAAATTTCATTCGAAAGCCTGTCTAAATCATCCTCAACTATACTGTTAGGATCCAATAGGAACTCACATTTTTAGAACCATTCGCAATGTTAGGGGCACAGAATACTATAATACATACATAATAGAACGGGACAGTGCGCGGAGCCCGTGTAGCCACTAATATGTCAATTCACACCTATAAATGTCAACACAATCAATTGTTTCCAATTTTCTACACTTCATAGTACAGACTCTGTAAAAAAAGTCTCCGGTGAGAAAGCGCTAGATAAGGGTGGCGTCACTGTGGCTATAGTCTAAATTTTAAAGAACTTTTTATAATTTTTAGTGCACAGACTTTCACCATAATTCTTTTTACAATAATTATTTTATTGCTGTCAAAATTTTTATTTTTAAAATCACTCTCAATATATTTTACGGCGATTTATCATACCCTGTAGCTACTCAAGCGCTGTTATGGAGAATTTTTGAAATGTTATTTACTGCTTAAGATAGACGCATTTTCAACCTTCAGCACGAACTAATCTCCTGACAAAAACGCCTCTAACTAGAGTTCTTCACGTTGTCAACCGTGTGCATCTTAAAATTGACGTATTTAGTTGCCACTATAGTGAATTAGCAAAGGTCATATTATATAATATATTGTGCGTAGACAGAGAATCCTAAAAACGCGACACGCTCAGCGAAACAAAAAATCTCATCGTTCTTTCTCATTTCTTTACACGACATCGGCGTAAGTTGCTCTTTCTCTTGTGTGACTGCGATAAAAGATATCACTTTGTCTATAGCATTCTCTGTCTACGATATTGTGTTACTGTTAGAGTATTTTTCTCAAAAAATTATATAATTTTTTTTTCATTGTATTTCTTTAGCTGATTTTTATTTTTCTTTACTGTTTAATGTTTGTAATTTTTTATTTAATTTTAATAATGTCTTTTTTTCTTTTTAGTTTGTTGAGCTAAATTTATTTTAATATTATTAGTGTAAGATTTAGTTTATAATAAAAAAGAGGACTCTATCGCATTGGGTTCGACTTGTAAGGATAGATGTCTCAAGTAATAAATTAATAATAAATCATCATCATTACAGCCCTTCACAAGTCCACTGCTGAACATAGGCCTCCCCCAAGTAATGCCACAAAGCACGGTCCTGAGCCACCTGCATCCATCGATTTCCTGCATATCTTACCAGGTCGTCACTCCATCTAGTGGGGTGTCGCCCTACA